ACTGCTATCTGGATAGAGGGCGCGACGTTACAATTTATCATTTACTTATAGTGTACGCATCCGAATACCGTTTACGGATGTGGTTCCGTTGTGTAATAGTAAGCAAGCGATGAAGTCGAGGTTATCAACGTGAAATGAAATACGCCAATTAAACGTCAAGGTGAATTTCCAGATGACCAGAAAAAAACTCGCTTTGCCCAAGTGGCTTAAGTGTTACAAGTTCACAGCACATTACTTAGGCTGAAAGATCCGAAAATACACACTGAAACTCGCTGTCGTCCCCCTGATCCCCGAACCTTCCAAAAAGCAGCACAAAACGAGACCTGAAAATGTTTCAGCATGTCGAAAAGGCAGACGATAAAAGTCAAAGGAAACGTGGGAGCTGCAGTCGACCAGGTCACTACAAACGAACTTGCTCAATTAACATGCAAAAAGATGTTTAGGAATTATGTTCATACTTTTAAGCAAACCATAAATTTTTGGCAATAACAATCATCGATATTTGATCAGTTATCGACCGTCCTATTTTCTTCTACTGTGCCTGTGGTGGATGGGGCCCTAAAATAAGAAAATGTATTCATTTCATCCTAGGTAATACGAAAACTGTCAAACATCTACACATCAATCAGTCACCAAAAAAGTCCCTCGGTATAGATGCTTTCTCGAATTTAGTCGCTGTAAACGACTTCTTGCATCCTTTTGTTTTACAATCCACGTTTTGGTCGTAATCATACTACGCATTAGTACTTTGCGTCAAAAAGCCATTTTGTAGCAGCGTGTGAAAGTTGTTTCAGATAATTTGTTTACACGATTTTGTGCTGATAGAGCAGAAACCTATTTGGTGTCGACAAAATGCTTTAGCTTTTGTTGCGGTAAACCGCGTCATCACACAACGGCACAGCAGATAATCACGATAGAACTCTTAAAACGTGCAGTGTTATACCCTTTCATGAATCAATGGACCCGGACATAATTTAAGCTCGCCTCACGCTCTAAATACATTGCGTTTCATTCGCCGGCAGCATTGTACCAACGCCGGTAGTACCGATTTGTTCAGAGCCTGACCTGCGTTGTCAAATGCGTCATCTGTGGGACACTAGAGGTATAGCAAACAGACGATAATATCAATTTTAGTATATCACTCGTTACTGCGGGTCCAAGATTTTTGCGACAATTGCGTTCACATCAGTCTATGCGCAAAGGAACGATGTGCCAAGCACCCAATCGTCGTCACACATGTCAAAAGGATGCCCTATGCTACCGAAGTCGGTTCATCATCCATACGATACTTGCAAGATTATCTTAATTGTGATCGCGAGCCTCAGCTAGTTGGATCAGCTGTGTTTATAGCCGATTGTGGCACCTCTGAGCAAAGGTGTAGCGGATGTTTAGGCTGTTCGAAGTGCTTAACATATAAACACTCAGCATGGTCATCTCAATCGCTAGTACAATTACATTTCGCTTGCTCAGATCGATGGACAGTAGCTTGTAAATAGCGTGATGCAACGTATCCAGCACTGTTTCGAGCTTATGCTACATACCCCTAGAAAATCACACAAATATGCAAATGGATTCGATACAGCAGTATAGCACGCACCAACCACGCCAACTACTGACCCGGATGTTTCTCGATTTGCGGGTTGTTTCGCACGCTTAGAATTGTTAGTTTGAACTAAAGACTTGTCCGTTTCATGATAAGCTGCCCAAAAGGATATCATGTAACACATCCACGAGATCCTGGAAACTGCACTTTCATCACACCATAACAAGAACATCAAAATGAAATAGGAAAAGTATGGGATAGTATTTAGATATTTATTCTGCAGCAGCACGAAAAGCGTACAATCCAGTAGTTTTCACTGAGCAATTAACTTCCTGTGAACTGCTGAAGATGCTAAACAGCAAGATGTGCATCGCGGCTAGTATAAACTGCGCACATGAAGCTGCTGCCCGGTACAGCGTCTACGTGTCGGTCGACAAAAACGATTCACATGGCTTGCCTGTAGAGTTGTGGTGTCGCCCACTATTCTTTGCATACGGGTAGCCCAGGATATTAAGCGACTCGACGCTGTAGCCGCCGCTATCGCGCATCGAGCCGAAGCTGCGCTAAGAAGTACAAAAAATTGCGCTCTGCTGAGTAGCAGGAGATGCATAGCTATCTCAATTTTCTGACGAGTCTGTCATCGTTTATTTTCCGTGGAGAAGATAGGTCGGGTACTCAATGACCCAGCGTCGGGTAAGACTAATAGTTTACCCTTCCAGATGCCATACTTGTTCTATTTGATATTATAGACCCGTCTGTCCGGCGTAAGGCTTCTGAGTCGTGTCTGTCCGTTTATGAACCCGCCGCGTCATTGACACATCGACTTGAATCACCGCGATCCGAAAATTTGGACGAATACATATGCAAACCTGGACGGCGCAGGCTCGTGGCTCGTGTAAGAAGTGGAGTTGTACTAGCGGATACTCCCTTCCGGATCGACGCCCCAGCTGCCAGATTTGGTATTTACAGTGGGTGATTAGTGAAGTTACACTAAGTTCTGGAAGGTTCTTAGTTTGTTGGCTCAAGATATAGATAGATCTCATTTCTAGATAATAAAGCCACTGAAGAGGCTCCTGGCGGGGGCCGAAACGCGTCTGGTGCGCGTTTTAATATAAAAGGTATCATTACAATTCTTTGATGATCAACAGCGCGGAAGTTTCTTTGAGGAGATATCACTGTGTTAACGCACGGGTTGGTTGCACTGTAGCGTCGAAATGACGACTCCTAGTCCAGTCGTTGCGAGAGATAGATCAAATTTACCGGGATTCAGCCTCCCGGATGTCATAAATGTCGAAGATTGGCAATTCTCTTTTATCTCATCTTGTAGAAATCGGGACACGATGATGAGGATGGCTGATGAAGCATCACAGGAGCTGAAAATGTCGGTGCACTCTTATTTTAAGAAGTACGGGAACTCAAATATATATGTCACTGATTGTGATAGTGGTATGAGTATACGCCGGTTTCGGCTAAGTCGATTTTTTATCAGTCACACCGGCTGGACTTGATGCAGATGCGGTCTTCGTATACCCAGCTGGATTCTATCTCTTTGCAGGGGGAGATAATGCAGGAATAGAATCAGTAGAACATCAGCAGCTGCTAAGGAGGAAGCATGAAATCGCGTGGCGCCCTACCAGGAAACGCCGGAGGAGCTAGATCACAAGCGTGAATAGTATGTTAGGTATTTCTTACACCACTACTTGCCCATTGATGTCAAAGGTTATCGGGAAATACCTTTATTATAAAACAATTAAACAAATCCAAAGGGATTGAATGTATAAGATGTACATGGCTGGGACCAAATTAAGAAACGGGTGTGCATTTTAAGGGACAGGGTGTGAATTTTAAGGAAAAAGGTATGTATTTTAAGGGGTGTGAATTTTGCAAGTTCCTAAAAAAATGCCCACGTCCTCGTAAACCCGAGTTTATGTGGTTCACATATGCCGACATTGTGCTTCGATGTAGGGCTTGACCTAATATGGATACGATTAACGCGCCCTATGCTAATATGTCTGACTTTCTAAAACAGAGAAGCACTCAATACGGTCACGCGGACATTCTCTACGACAGAGTGGACCTATGAAATGCTCGCGTGTCAAGGCTTTTTTGGATCAATACATATTTGTAACGTGCAAATGGAGCAAACTAGTTGCCGTAAAGAAAATGTAGGTCGAAATTAGCGGGGGTGTAGGTCCTTGATATTTAAAAAGAGTCACTTATTACTACCAATTTATGGCATAAGTAAACAAAAATTAGTTCCGTAGTTCATAGGACAACGCAGCAGGTAGTGTGGCACCAGAAATTACCGTTAGAGAGTCTCATGCCAAGTGCTGACGGATACAATCCGACAAAATTTAGCTGAAGTCCCTTTTGTAAATTATAATGCAGAATGTCTTCATTTCTTCATACTGTGATATGTATGTTGGAGTGTGCTAACACTCCGACCAAATCGAGTGTCTTGTGTGAGGTGTAATAACCTTTGAGCTCTCCACGTCCAGCGAGTTGTCCTTAAAATTTAAATATCCATTATCAGCACCGATTGAATCCTGTAACAGCACTTAAAATCACCATCAGCACTGGTAATGCTTTTTCAAATTGATAAATAGGAGTCAAAGTAGTAGAATGGATTCGTAATAGTCTAATAAACGATTAACGCAGTTTTAGTAACTATTAGCGCAAGCGCAAGATGCATATTCCTTTTACTAAACTATACAACAGCAACAGTAGTAACACCACAACCACTAACGGCAGTACCAATAACAACGACACCAGCAGCATCAACAGCGATCTTAACGATATCAAACGCAACAAGAATACATAAGTACTGACATCAGCAACATCCACGGATACAGCCACAGCGGTAACAGCAGTCATTACACTAAAAATAAAACAGTGGCAAATTTAACAAATTCACAAGAATCTCAAATATAACATTTGAAATCAATACAAACGACAAAAGAAACGGTACTGTCAATTACAACAACATCAATACCCATTGTCTGCATTAACGACCACGGTCGACGATATGTAGATGCGTTTGCATCTTAAATGTACCGTCTTTGCCCGCAAATAGTGGCCACGAGCGCAGTATGCCCACGGCAGAAGCTCCTACGGGACACTGTCATCAGAGCTGAGAAGTGCATCATGGACATTAAAAGATAATTGAGAAATGTAAGAAATGAATATTTATGTTTACCACGTTATTAAGTGTTTACGAGGACGTGGAATATTTTTAAGATCTAGTCTTTATCTGAGGCATTATTATATTCTCTATTTATCTGGGGCTTTTTCATTTTTTTCGTAATAAAATGGGAGTTTCTTTTATTCCCAAAGTTTTTAGATTAGCTTTTTCGGTTCAACGACAGTTGCTTCCTTTTATTGTGTAGGTATGGATCACTATTGACTTCATGGCCAATGCGCTTAGTACTCCAGATATCCATCCGTATGGCTACCACATTCAGAGCACCCACTTCCCAATTTGTGCCTTCAAACAACAATGGCCAAGCGACGAAGGCCTCCAAAGAGACGGGCGACCGGCCCCCATTACCCTGGGTGGGAAGTCCGCTATCTTGTGGCTCAGACTGAAGGGAAAGAACTTCTTGGCGCTGCGTGCGCTACAGGAAGCAGCGCAGCGTCCAACCCGAAAGGGGAGCATGTTGTAAGTGCAGAGGCCCTGGTTCCCCCAGAGCCCCCCGAGAGGGGGTGTGTGTTGGTTTTTTTGTGGGTTTTTTTATTGTAGTGCTCGGCGGGACCGAGTGGTTTGTCTTCTCTTTTTTCCAAACCACCCCCCGGGGCCCCCCCGGCGGGCGGGCGGCCCCGGGGCGGGGGGGGTTTAATAAATTTTTTTTTCTTTCCTCCCCCCCTCTTTTTCCCCCCCCTCCCCCCCCCCCCCCCCCCCCCCCCTGTTGGGCGCCCCCCCCCCCGGGGGGGGGGGGGGCGCGGGGGGGGGGGGGGGGGGCGGAAGGATTCGTGGGGGGGGTTGGGGGGGGGGGGGGGGGGGGGGGGGGGGGGGTGGGGGGGGGGGGGGGGGGGGGGGGGGGGGGGGGGGGGTTGGGGGGGGGGGGGGGGGGGGGGGGGGGGGGGGGGGGTTTGTGTGGGTGGGGGGGGGGGAAACCGGGGGGCGGGGGGGGGCGGGGGGGGGGGGGGGGGGGGGGGGGGGGGGGGGGGGGGGGGGGGGGGGCCCCCCGGGGGGGGGGGGGGGGGGGGGCCCGGGGGGGGGGGGGGGGGGGGGGGGGGGGGGGGGGGGGGGGGGGGAGCAACATCCCAGACACCCCGAGGTGAGGGGTACAGCAACAGCGGTTGTCACCCCATACCTAGTACCTACTATTCTACTTCAGCCTTCGAGTTGTTGGCCCGGTCGCCGAGCTCGACTCCTGAGCACCACGAAGCGAACTTGCCTAGAACTTGATCAAGGTCGGCCTAGTCCAGGTGCACCAGCGGTCCATGGGGGGGTGATTGGTCTGGTACCTGGCGTTTCCTGCGACTTCAGCGTCTGTGTGCACCCCGGACTGGATATCCGATTCCACGTGCCCTCTGCGAAGTGTCCCCGTGATGACCGAAGAGCCGAGCCAAGCATACTAAGCCAGCGAGGAGAAGATGATGTAGTTTAGGCAGGAGCACACCGATATTGTACAGGTTTTAAGCACTCAATCGACGTTCTGGATTTATAACTATCTAGAGCACGCTGTACTCTTGTTAAAACTAGTTTAACACTCTTCGACACTCCCTCAATTGTGCATTTTATACAAGAGTTTGATTTCCTTTGCTCAGTAGTATTCTCGCATAATTTTTCACTTGAAAAGCTCGAAAATTATCGATATTCCTGAGTTCGAGTTTTGAGTTAGCGACCAAAGGGCGAGCATGGTGGAACGGAATGTGTATGAGTTACGAGGATATGAGTTATCTTGGAATGACTGTTGGTAAATTTAAAGCCGCTCTTTGGCTAGGTCACTATTGTGACGCACAAACGTGGTTCACTTAAAATCGATCACAGGTGTTAAATATTATGTAAGCAAACACTGAACGCTCATAGGCAAAGACTGTCGCGTTGCATGAGCATATTCTGGGTCACCTTCGGCATGAACAGTATCATACTCCTTCTTCGGTGACTGCTGCTGCTGTTTTGTATTAGCGTTTTTGCAACTTGATTCTGTCCTATGAAATGGATCACTTATATCAAAGGGCGAGCTCCAGAGCGTGCTTTCCTTAGCTCATGCTAATAACAGGCGTACTAGCGAGAAATCTTGATCTATTCACAGTCAGTTAAATAGCATATTCTGGAATACCTTTTAACTCGGCCGCCAGAACACAACGTCTATTTTATAACCTGCACAGATTATAATCTAATCGAGACCAACAAATCGGAGGAAACAACGCTATACATCAGTGTTGTGGCTTAATGACGCACTACCTTTAGTGACCAACCACTACTGACTTTGACACGCCGCTAACTTTCATCATTCTACATTTGCATCAGAAGCGCCACCGGGTGTGATATCGCTTCTATATCACCGCGTGTACCGACGGGTCGATCTCATCTTCTCTCTCATTGGCAGTTACCTGCAGCGACCGTCTGCTGCGATGACCAAGTACTTCCATCTCCTCGTGCTCGCACTTGTTCGTTCTGCTCGTGGCGCTTTTTCAGCGTTTGCAGATGGACATCAGGCCAACTTGACGACACCCGACCTGGATACAGTAACTCAGTCGGAACCGACCGACAGATGGTTGTACCCAATCACTGAAGCCACCAATGACGAACCCGTTGATGAAGAAAGGGGTGGATTCACAGAGCTCATGGAAAAGATAAGGAATGGAGTGCTGGAGCTTGTGGAAAAGATGAAGAACGGATTCGCCAGTCTGAAGGATATTTTCAAATTTAAGGCACCCATCTATGAGTTCAACCGCGAAAGTGGAGAGCTCGTCAAGAAATTCGAGAATTTGGTTGCCCGTCTGGCGTGGGAGATCTCACAAAAATTTGACAAGGCGGTAGAGGCGTACACTTTTCACAAGAAAGTGACGCTCGCTAAGGAAATACTGGCAAAGGGAAGGTCGCATGATGACCTGCTCGATGGTCAGATTCCGCCAAAGGTGTTGTATCACTTGTTTGATTTGAAAGCGGTTCAAAGTCGCCCCGATCACCCCACACAACGAGAAATAGATGATTATGACTTTCTCGCAGAATACAGTAGCCTCTACAGAGCGAAAACCGGGAAGGCCGCTGACTGGGAACGATGACCAATGGCTGCCGAATCTGCGATGTGACTCACGTTGCGCCGCGAGAGTTTGTAAGCTCGGTACAACGAAGAATTCGTTTACACAATTTCTCTTCCATACTTTTGGTTCCTTTGATGTGATCGCTCAACCGAGATTATCGAGCTGGGGCCGTTTGTTGATGGTTGTCCAAAGGCCACACAGTAGTAGGATCATTGCTGCCCGCAAGGCGCAATCGTGAAGGAGATTTTACAATGTAGGACCCGAGGAGTACCACGTTATGACTAGAGATTCGAAGGCGCATGACATCACTGCATGCAACTTCGTTAGCGGTACCAGCACTTCTGGTCGTAAAGTTGTTTGTCCCCATGCCCTTCGATCTCGAAGTAAGATGTTTGCTCATCGGATGCATCATTGACTTCCATCTCGGAGAATTGTAGTTAGGAAGCGACATTAACGTACCAGTGAGCATTGTAAAGTTCGCCAAGATGTATAACCACGCCACACGCGATACACGTCAGCTATTGGCGAGATTTGAAGAGAGTCGGGGTTCATTCGCTAGACATGAGTTTGCGGGAGAAGGGTTCCCGTTTATATCACCGCACTCGACTTTGTCGCATTACTTTTCTTGTACACGTCTGATACGGGTCAGACGGCCGCATCATTGAGCAAATTTATGCTGGTGCTGCCCGTAAGCATATAACAGCAACTAGTGGAGTCCTTGTACCGTTCTTAATAGCATATAACAGCAACTAGTGGAGTCCCTGTACCGTTCTTAATACCTATCCAGCTTACATGGGATATGTTCTCGTATGTGCAAGAAAGGACATGTGACGGATGCGTAAAGAGTGAGTCTGGAATGATGACGTATGACGCGGCTCGATTAAATGAACCAGAGGAATCATTTCGTGAAACGCGTTCCTACTGTCATTGGCCGTTGCTACGAAGAGGAGGGGAACGTGGGTCACACTTGACCTACTAAAATGAAGTGCCGATGCCACCTTGTCGGCGATTGCGGAGCAGTAATTTGCATTTCTAAGTGTATAGTAAAAGGAATCTGAGTCGGTGCTTCATCCTGTCCATGTTACTACTATTGCTCGTACCAGCGCTCTCATAGGCTAATGGAACTCCACAAATATCATGATGTCGCTCTTCCTGTCTTGGAGTCTTCTCACTCGTAACCTGCATTTTCCAATTCGCTTGAATGCGCATGAAACGTCGAGATGGTGCGAAGGTTTTATAAAATTACCACCTACGGCCTTGCGCGATTGCGAATGCTTACACCTTCGCGGTCTTTGACGTCATTGTATGGATCTTAGGTAACCACTTACATCTGTTACTTGACAGTCTGCTACAAAATGTGAATGGATTCGCCTGGCTGCACAACTTTACTATAATGCATCACAATAGTATGAAACTCACATGCTCGTACATACACGCAAGCATCGTCTCACTCAAAGTCACCATGAATCGACACACGCTCATGTCAAATAGCGGCACGCAAAATAAACCACTAGACTTTAGCATGTGCGGCAGCTTACGCCTTACAGTCAAACGCTTCTGCATTTGACGGCGTCTAGAATTTGACGCTGTACAAGACCACATCAAGTGGAGTACCCGCTAATCTACCTAGACCTACCGTGATGCTGCTAGTTACGACCACTACCTTAATTTTTAATAGGTGATGCTGCCATTTAAGCTATATATGGGATCTAGATGTGTAGCTGCTTCTCAAAGATAGGATTTGAGCTGCCTCCATGTAAGTTAATGTCGAGGTTGTCGTAACAGCCCCCGCAGTTAGATGACATCGACACGCTAAGAGCACATACAATCTAATTTGTGGATGAGCCAACTTGAATCGGTCATATCGCTTTGAAACCTGATATGTCCAAGGTTTGCTTGCTTAAGCAGCTTTACATTGTAGCAAGATGATCCAGACAAATCAGAATAGGAATAATTTTGTGTTCTGCCGTAAAGCCATTACGCATAGGTATAGCTTCTTTCCTGCCGTGTTTTGTATTTGTTAAGCGTGACTCTACTGAACAATAAGCAGCTCACAACAGAGATGTTGTGCCGTTCTGGCTATTACACGACTAAACCTTGTTTGATTTGTGATACCGCACATATTGATGATGTTTCCTCTTGCACTCAAGTATTCGACGTCAACGTCGACTCGAACGCAGTATGTGACGTCAACGGATTGAAGCGGTAGAACACCGTCAACCGCCTTCAAACCGGTACACGTACCGACTGGCACCACGCGAGTTCAACTCGAATAAATACGAAGTAGCTCCGCACCATACCTACAAAAAAATTACATAAACTATAACCGGTATGTCAAAAGTATCCACACGAAAACGAAGCGACGTCCATTAAGTTCAAGTCGTGTAGCCATAAGATCCTGACTTCTCTCCTCCATCTCTATAGCACGATCATTAACTCCCCACCACTCTCATGTCTCTAGCTCCACCACCGCCACCTCCGGCATCCGTTGGTGGTCCCTGGTCCGACTTTGTGTCTCGCTCTGATGCCTCAATGGCCAAATTACTGAAGGATTCTTTACCCAAGACCAAAGCTACTCGAGCAACGTGGCTGGCCACTCACGAAGAGCTGGACGATCAAGAACCTCCAGACTGTCTCAGGATTGTGGATGTGTACACGGGTCTCTTGCTGTTGCTGCTCTTGCCAGTGGCTGCCGTCGCCTACGTCGCTGTTGGGATCTTGACCGTGCCGGGTTTAGTAGTGCTACGAATCTACGTGGCTAAAGGTTTACAACGACCGGTGAAAAGTGTTCCTCGAAGTGCTGGGTTCCACGTAGCAGCGGGGATCGTCGCAGTCTTGGCACTTCCATGTCAAGTATTTGTGCTGCTCTACTGGCTCGTGCTTTTTCCAGTCATTTTTATCTGTAGCTTGTTCTACTCAGTCATATCGCTCAAGATACTGCTGTTACGAGGCAATTTCGCTCTTATGAAGAGCTGCAGTCGGTGGCCCAAGTGGAGTTGGGATGACTCAGTGTGTGCCATGATAGGGACGATGGACAGACAAGGCTTTGCAAAGCTGGTGCTCAAGTTTCCGTCAGCAGTCGTGATTGCGCCGATCTTGAAGTATTTGCTGGGATGCAACCCGCTACTGTATCGCCTAGCTATTCGACAACGATGTCTATGGACATCACCTCTGGATTTTGATGGTAGGTTCGCGTATTACTGAGTACTGCTGAGAAACTTCATGCTGTGGTCAACTAATTTTGTTAGCATTTGTTGCAAACCTGTTACAGACCAAAAAGCTGTTGCAGCAGTGGTGCAAGCAGCGTCTTGGACGCTTGTGAATCTCACGGACCTGTTGCCGCATCAAGTGAGCAAGCCACCACGACAAGACGATCGAATTGTTGGTGGCCATATTCCCTTTCCAGGACCCGACCGACTGAGTGGGACAGTTCTTGGTGTGTTCACAACCAATTCGATAATTACGCTTGTAAATGCGGACCATAACGTAAACGGCAGCGTGTTCTACAGTATGACAGCCAAACGAAGCATATACAACGTACCCCTGTACATTTGGAACCCGTGTCATTATCTTACGGGCTACATCGAGATCAATTTGCAGCATGACGGAGGCATTGAGCAAGCTAGTACGTTTAAAAGATACACTTATATATCGGTGCTGTCGTGCTAATGTTACTTGCAGTGTGGTTTCTCGTAGGTGACAACTACTTGGGCAATCTGCTGTTTGAGCGCACTGACGCACTGTTTTGGCATTTCGACCCCATTAAGCGTGGTCAGATGGGTCCCAGCACCGTTAAATTTATTCGTGGCTCAACTGCGTCAACTATGTCAGCAACGGAATCCGTGGCGGTGAACGGCAGCAGTTTTGACTTAAGGCTTACCGTCGATGGAACAGGACTCGAGAGCAACATTGTCGAAGAAAGTCCGACAGCAAGTGAACAACCATGACTGCTGCTTGGCAGTTCTCAATCAGAGTTTGGCCCTCGAAAGCCAGAGGTGTAAGCAAGGAGATGATGCAACGAGTGCAAGATTTCTAATGGGGCTTCAAGTAGCTCTGTGTCTACAGACGAAGTAGCCTCCGCCGCTGATGAAAGAGGCACAGTGTTGGACTGTATTCTTGCCACAGACTCGTGCGTATCTCATCGATTGCGGTGTCAGAGATCGCTCTCACTATTGACTCGTACTTCTTCATCAGCGTTCTCATCAAGACGACGCTGAGTGAATCACTGCATGCAAAAGCGAGCGACGAAGCACGAATAATGAACACAGATTTGAGTCAAGTCAAGTGGAGAACAGCTGCGACCGGCAGCACGTTGCGCCGACTGTGGGTAAGTACTATCGACCAGTTAGTAACGGTTCAAGCACAGTGGTCAAAGACGTCACAATACTGGAATGAATGTATGGCGAATAGCACTTCTGTCCAAACGCCTCTCACCAGCGGAAATTGAAGTTGCAAATTTGAGCGCAAAACGTACTGCAAGCCGACTATAGACACCAAGGTGATACATTCGTCATCTGGCCAGCCAAAGAGGCAAACAAGAGTGTGTAAGGTTACCGAACTAACACGTATACCGAACGGCGAGACGAAACGGAGGTATTCGTCGACAAGCAAGGTAACGGGTCGCGACAATTGAGAATGTACAAACAATTGTCAAGTACAATCCACGAGGTGGATCAAAAGAGGCTGCTGTTGTCCACGATCGAGAATGAGAGCAAGTGGCAAGCGCATAGTCACCGTGATCACAATCATTTGACTCAAAAAATGTAACTTCGACATTGCCTGTTCATCCAGAACCTAAAAGATTTGCACACAATATGTATCTGAATGTGCGACGGCGCTTTCTTGCTTTCTCTAACCATGCAGATAGTCTTAGCAAAGGAACGTCCTCCACTCCTGCGCGTCCAACACATGTTCAAATTATGCGCTTATGCGTGACATTGTAGTTTTGCTCCATAAACTCGGCAATGCACGATGGTCTGCTTGTGGAATTGCAATCGATCCCGCGGATTTACTGTCAAACCGGCATTTCCCGAATAAACACTGATGTAATTACAGAAAAATACAAGGTGCAAGACATCACAAACCCTTACGAGTCGAGCTCTCTTTTGTTGTACATATCGACGTTGTAGGTGCCTTGAATGATTGAAGGGGCCACACTAGATAACGTCGCTCAAGCCCGCGGAAAACTTCCCGTAATTTTGTCGAGTGTAAATGAATGCACTCAACATTCCACAGCGGATCTGACCCGAACGTAGTTGTTTTCATCAATTCCATCACAATAAATTATCCTAACATCTACACCTTCGATGTAACTACATGCGAGTCTTGTTTACTCGCTCGTTTTGTAAGAAGGTTGTCGTATCATCGTTTGCCCACTAACGGTATGATTGGCATTCCTATTGTAGCTGAGAGCAGCAAGGGGACATGTAGACGGTAGATGGAAGCACCACTGCCTCGGGCACAACAAGATGACGAGTCAGCTGCTAACACCGTGATGAGGTCTCAGCGAAAGAGCCATTTTCGTGGACATCGTGATTGATCGTTTGACAACGAACACACATCAGGAGGACCTCGACGAGTCTGGCGGGCATATATTAACAGCAACACACGACCGGATCGGAGCAGCAAGTGCACGGCCTCGACTGTATGCATAAGCAAGACAACGGTGAGGAGGGATCGTCAAGTGCTGCCGTTCTCGAAGACTTTTTATATATTGGTTCGAGTAGCGTCAGCAACAAGAGCACAACCGCCATTATGGTTACAGAAGTATCTCGATGTCCAGTCCCTTGTGGCTTATTCAAGACACAAATGAATGAGCATCGCACACGCCATGTCCAATGTTCGATAGCCTAGCCATGCTGCTAGCAATGCCATACCATCTATTGTCACGAAAGGCATTGTCCCATGCGTCAGCCTCATTCTATCGTAATCAGTAGCAAGACGTACTTCACTATCAACGATACCCCATCGCCATGAAAATACAACTGGCCTGGCCAGTTTTATTACATTTTGAGCACCAAAAACGACACAATGCCAACAGCACGCAATATAACAGAAGCAGTCATGCAATAGTCCTGAACGAAGACCTAAAAGCTTGGTCAGCACACTACCACTTGCGTGTCAAGTGCAATACGTGCCATCTTTTGAAAACGAGTCACGCGTGACAGCCGAGTGCGATTCTCATATTCCATTAGACGTTTCTATGCACGCAAACTCATGTAATCTCGCAGGTATGCACACAACCTCGTGTAAGATATTATTTATTTTGCACTCGCGCACAAACGCGCACCCACTGCGTACTTAGCGAAACCACTCGTCCAAAAAAGAACCCAGCACCAGCACTCAAAGCCGTTGACCACCTACCTCATCATGACGTCTCTCTTCCTGCGTCCGTCACAGCGTCTGGTGCACGCTCAACACACAGTGTACTCCCGACTACTTCACCAGGTCTGTCTCGGTTCGCAAAGCTTCTTGCTGGAAGAAAAACGCATTTGCAATAAATTACGCTGGTAATTAATTTATTCTTTCGCATCATTTTAATCACTCATAAATATATTTGTTGTGTTTTTTATTGCATTCAATAGAAAGCTCCATTTAGCTCGCCTACGAGTTCTACTCCATCACCTTCAGGTCTCACGTCGCTTCAGAAGGTATCGCTCGGTCTGGCTGCAATGTTCGGTGGCGGGTATGCCATTGGCTATTTGTTTGGCCCCTTCCCGTCGCTGGAAGACATTACGGGCATCAAAGCTGTGAGCGGTGCTCCGAAATATAAGGGAGAGGTGAGGTGATGCATGTGACGACCAGAGGATCAGTGGAGTGGAAAGAGGGGGACGAGAAAAGGATGTTCTTATTCGATCCTGGTGTGTGGCAGCTCTATGTGACAGACAAGGTGTTCTTCGACATTAGCATTAATGACGACTACGTGGGCAAGATCGTCATGGGTTTATACGGAGAAGTACAGCCTCGCACGGTTGAGAACTTTCGGGCGTTGTGTACCGGAGAGAAAGGCGCGTCCCGTGCTGGACCGCCATTGTGGTTCAAGGGCTCAAGCTTTCACCGCATTATACCTGGCTTCATGTACGCTTACTTGTTGTGGTGCATGCACTGCTGTGGGTACTGATAGCCTCGTATATCTTGTTGATCATTATGTAGGATCCAGGGTGGAGACTTTACTCAGCACAATGGACGTGGAGGCGAGTCTGTTTACGGACGTCGCTTTGACGACGAAGATCTGAGTGTTCCGCATGGAGGTCCTGGCACTCTGAGTATGGCGAATGCTGGCCCGAATTCCAATGGAAGTCAGTTCTTTATCTGCACAGGAGATACGCCGTGGCTGGACGGGAAGCATGTAGTATTTGGACGTGTGCTGGAAGGGATGGACGTCGTAGATATCATCTCGAGCTGCGGAAAACGCTCGGGTAAACCCAAAGCAATGGTCAAGATCATGAACTGCGGTGCGCTCGATACGGAGGCGACGAACCAAGGTGATACGGATGAGGTAAAAGAGCCGAAGCGGTTGACGCGAGAAGAGATGCAAGATCGTCTCGACTCGCTGCGCGAGGTGGAGAGTAAGTTCAAGGCGCAAAAGGACCAGAGTGATATCACCATGTATGAACAACTGATGGCGGAAATTAAGCACGAGAAGGTGCGAATCAAGAAAGCGCTAGAGAAACAGCACCCAGACGAGTAGACGTCTCCAAGAATGGCGCTTGAGGCTTCGTGGAATGAGTCGCCTTTGAATCAACGTTTTCTGCTTTGCCTTAGCAGTCGATCTCAGGCGTATCGCAATACGTTGGAACCGTATTCTCTGGTTGTTCATTCTTTGGTTCTTCTTTACCCCACCGCTCGGCACCTAAGATGTACTGTGTTGATACTTTTTGTACCTCAATGGATTCCGATTGCTGATCATTTGAGCAATGGTACTTGCTGATGATATTCAGACACTGTAGTATATATGACTATACAGCATCGAGGGACATGCAGTGTTGAAATAAGCATCAAGTCCTTTTAAATGTTGAAGATTGCAGTGATGTCCGATGTATGCTGTAGTTTCTTTGCCATCAAAATTGTCGGACACCAACAAAAACCACAAAAAGATTTCGATCAAGGAAGTTAGTTGTGGCACATTTCGTAAGCATCGGCCCTACAGCTTCTTAATTTATATACCAAATGTCGGATCATTTCAATTGGTTGTTATTGATGATGAATTTGCTTGATCGACTGAATCTGAACAAAAAAATCGACGAAATTATAGAAACTGACCAGTCTTGCTGAATTTACATTCTGATATATTTTTTAAGGCAGCATTATCTGTAATATAGAGTAATTAAATAATTTAACTCCCTCCGTTTTATTGCCTTTGTCCCAGATCTAACATCTTTTGTTTAACAATGCATGTCCATTTCGTAAAGATATATTTATAAGTAACAAAACGATTCCATGTGTTACATTAATTTAACAAAGAGAGAGCGTGCTTTTTCATACAAGCTTCGAGATAACAGAGTGACCGGGGAAACCCTGCGTTTTGACGAAAAGTGGTCATCTTCGAATGTGGTAGCTCGTTTGCATTGTAACCATCATCTGTCCGTTGATGCAGTCATACATTTCTGCAGCGAAAGAAACTCGTCTCCTGTATTTCAATTTGAAGACCCATGGCCGAATATTCGACTGCATCTCCCAAATCGTCGTAGCTTCGAGGTGCAACTTCGTGCTGTAGCATCCGAATAGACCAAAATGGCTCAAGTCTAGCACATCAAAGCCCAGGTCACGAGGAGGCTGGTGTAATACACAGAGGTCGAGGCGCAGCTGACAGTTAGCCTCACTCACGAGCGGGTCATCTTCCTTGACGTGTGGTTGCGCTATGTCTCGTCGTCGGTAAATTGTGCCGCGTTGGCTTTAACTCGTAAAAGTGACAGCCATCACAGGGATGACGTTGTCCAGCAATATGTTGACGAATTCGCTCTCCTTTCGGCAGTCAAAGTCTCAAAATCAGGCGATTATTGCTTACTTCTTTGAACGACTGCCCGCACCACAAATATCCAGATCGCGCTTTCCAACAAACAAGTTACCGATGGCAGCGTCCTTTATTAGCCTGGTGACAGCTGCCAAAAACATTCCTTTTCGAATTAAACTGCTTGATGTTACATTGTCGAACTTAACACACAAAGTTAATCACAATGACTCTGCACACCCAAATACTATATTAAGCGGTAAACATACATAATGGAGTGGCGATGGCTTGTTCGGTGAATTTTTTATTTGCTGAGACGCTAGTGTCATCTAAAACCAGTTCCCATCGATGGAGGGTTTACAGCTCGGCCAAAGATATACGACCACCCATATTTTTACTCAAAACTCTATCTTAATGCAATTTGGACGCTGCGATTTGAACATGTTATACGCGTAGCTTTTTACACACCCCTCGTGTAGAACGTCCCTATTATTTGTGTTGGTGTCATACCTTGTATATTAAAAAAGTTTTTTGTGACACCCGGTCAAAAGTACACGGCCATGAACGACCATACAAATTCCTCCGATTTATTTATTTTAGGATTGTTACTCGAACTAGTAATGTGTCTCATTTCTTTGCATCTTTAGGACATCGATGCAACGGCGCGGCATCATTTCCATCATGTTCATTAGCTTATTGATCGTATATTATTCTTTGTATCGATGACTGCCGAGGTCAGAGTCGAAACACAATCGTGATTTTTTCGTTTAAATATATACTTCTCTAAATAATACTCACAACTGATGGATTTCAAGTCTGGATATCGATATGGACGGTTTAAATGTCCACGACTTGCTCAGCGAAATAGTCCAGCGTGAGTGAAGACGTACAATTGAAGGTATTGTCCTTTTGAAATGTAAACTCGGTCGTATTCTTGGTGTACAAATGGAAGCGAATAGTTGTTGGAGGGTAGTATTCCGTACCTAGATGGGTATTAGTTGTAAGCCGGTAATTTCTGCTAGACAGTGCTGGGGTTAGTCCGAATCAGATGTAGCTATAGAATGTTCGATGCTTAGGGAAATGTGTGGCAGGGGCAGATACCGCTGCACTGAGAGATTTCACTTTGCATTCGGTAATCCGCTGAGAAGGCCCGCTGCGGCGAGCCGAAAGGCGTCTGGCACGCGTCCGTACGTAATTTTTATAATGTGTTCTTAGTTTCTTACAACAGCGTGATTAGGTGCAAATACATCTCTTTACTTCTGCTTCCCACCCCATTGGCGAGCTCGGTCTTTCCAATTCCGCTAAACCCACCCAAACGTAAAGAAAAATTACGCCCAGTCAAAGACGGCTCATCTGTCTGATAAGGCATGCATGCCTCGCCAGTAGTGTTGTAGACCATTTGATCAATCAAGTATCATTGGGTTTTCGTTAGAAAACATCGCTGTCATCCAGTCATCGGAAAGAATTAACATATCCTCCTAGTATGCAAGGGACACACTCTGTGATTCGCCGTTAGCTACAGAGTGTTCTCCATTTTTAGTGTACGATAGCCAGTCGAAACATTCGAGAACGCGCCGAAAAGTACGCACCGAGAAGTGCAGGTCGGGATGAGAAGAAGTGCGATGCTGAGTGATCCCCCAGACTGCCGTACGAAGACTCAGACGTAGCGTACTATCATATCAAATTGATCGCTTATTTATAGCTTGTCGACGTTTACGAATGATAAAACACAATATACTGTGTCACGAGAAATTTTAACATTACGTGCGACAGCGCAAGATATTACAGCGGGATCATGAAATCCCTTTGTAGCCCACTCTCCTCGTTTAAGACAGAATACCCTTACCCATCACGTCACTTATATAGACAGTATTCACATACTTTAACGTTGTCTGGTCGTCCCTGGCCGTATACTTATAACAGTGCAAAAGAAGGTTTTTAATTTGTACATTCATGACACTAACGCAAACAATAGGGATGCTTGTACACGAGGGGTATGTAAGATAATGCGCGTAACATACAAAAATAGCAGCGCCCAACTCGTAGTAATTATAGATACGTGTAAACACATCGGCGGCCGTATATTTATGGTCCAGTCTGCACGTCGTTCATCGATGAGTAGAGATGTTTTGACCCTCAGAAATCGAATGATGGAGGCAATTGACGCGCTCTTGATACCCTCCTTCACTGACACTATAATTTTGTTGGTCGTCGCTATGATGTCTTTGTGCTGGTGCATTCGACAGGGGCGTATAATTCGATACCTCCGTCACGTGTGTTTTTAAGACAGCAGTGTATAATGCTTACGATATGACACATCATCCATTACATGTGAACTGCATCTAATTTATTCATTTTGTAGTTTTCTCACACTTGCTCCTGTATCGCACATTTCAGATGTCTGGCGAGGGAGGATAATGGAGTCGCTACCATGCTTCTACAATGTCGACTTTATTGAACATGCATATGATAGCGTCATTGATTTAAATTAGAACGACATACTTTTATGATAGCACCAGCACACTCCAGGCCTTACACAATCTTCCAGTAATTATGAGGTACTTAAAATCTTCCATCGGCGATTAGGTTGAGGCTCATCTTTGACAATGATAGCGATTCTACTAAGAGCGCAATGGTGTGCACTGTTTAAAACGAAACATGTATTTAGTTTAAATATAGGAGTTTCCCTTACACACGTAAATTTCGTGTTTTTGGTACAAAGTAGCGTATTGGTTAGGCATTTATAACTATTATGCATTTGAGTAGATGACTATAATTAAAGATATTCGTATATTTTAAGCTTTTATAGAAATAAAATCATGACGATTGGTGGTCTGTATGCTTCGCGATCGGCGTCGGTTTAAGGCCTGTAAAAATGATGGGTATTGAGACAATAGTTTATTGGCTTGCATTGAATGAGTGGATCACAATTAACACCGGCTTAACGAGCAAAACATAAGCTATTTATTTAAATTCATCGGCCAATCAGGCTATAAAATTGTCGCATTTCTGCATTTTGTTTGAAATGGGACAAACTTGCTGGGATAAATGATACATCGGTTTACGCAACAAGACTTTGAGGTGGTCAATAGCAGAAATTAAATTGCTGTGTGCACACTGATACTCCTGATACTGATGGCTGTTTATTCAGTGTTAAATTATTTGATTTTGATATCTGTGATGCAACTTTGTTGAGATCAGAAAAAAGTACATAAATTAAAATGAAAAACGAAAGCTTGCAATCTACGACATGTAGTGAATCACACAACAATCAATATAATACATAGAGGTGTTTCAAAAGTAGCCGCTAATGAGCCTTCATTTTTACTAATGGCCTTTAATTTATAAATTTAGCAAGTTTAATTTTATGGATCTCTAAATTTGAATCTTAAATTGTAGTACTTTCAAGAAATCACGTCAATTCATCTCATATGATCTAATACGTAGAACCCGTCACAAACCTCCTTGATTGACATATGAAAGGCCTTGACCAGCTTAAGAAGATCTGTTTGGTTTTCATAATAAAGCCCACCAGGCGCCTAACGAGCTAACACTACGGAAAGGCTATGCTACAAAAATTAAAAATGCTACAAACCTCATGCAAGAACCCCGATCTTCTTCTGGTACAGAGTCAGGTTCAGCGAGTAACGGGGTAGCCCGATACACGATATCGACACCAAACGGTGTCAATAGGTAACTGTCTAGCGTGTCTATTCCCTGCATATTTTATCCGAGATAGG